CTCGAAAAAACGACGGGGGTGCGCGTTCCGACACGATGGAGGTGGAAGGGAATACGAAGTATCCACAATGATGAATTCGAAGAGAGGAGAGCGAAGGGCCTATGTTTCAAATGTGGGGGAAAATACCACCCTACGTTGCACAAATGTCCAGAACGAGCTCTTAGGGTTCTAATCTTAGGAGAAGGAGAAACCATGACAGAGGAAGGGGAAATTGTGAGTATGGAGGACGTGATGGTGGGAAGTGAAGAAGAAATGGAGGTGGAATGATGGGGTATTGGGAAGTATGGGTAAGTCTCACACCATGAAGGTTGAAGGGAAGATACATAATGTAGATTTATTGGTGTTGATTGATAGTGGTGCGAGCCACAATTTCATTTCTCCAAAAGTGACTACTGCTTTGGGTCTTGTCATCACACCTACAGCAGCTAAGAGTATCAAGCTTGGTGACGGTCATAAGGTGATAACAAAAGAAGTGTGTAAAGGGGTCAATATGAAGATGAGAGGGATTGAAGTAATTGTGGATGCGCTGGTGTTGGAGCTAGGGGGAATGGATATGGTGTTAGGAGTTTCATGGTTAAGCACTCTGGGGAAGGTGGTTATGGATTGGAAGGCCATGACTATGCAATTTTCTTATGAAAATGCGTTGGTGAAATTGCAAGTTCAAGGAAGCAAGGTGGTAAGACAATGTTATTTGAACTCCTATCTTGAGGACACTCATAGCAGAATTGAGTTGGGATGGTGGTGGGCTCATTTACAGTCAATGGAAGCAACCAGGTCAGTGGTTCCCAAAGGCTTAAACCCTATACTAGAAGAATTCCAGGAAGTGTTTGGAGACAACATTCAGCTACCTCCTGAGAGGAGTCAGGTGCATCGGATTAAGCTTTATCCTGATCATGGTGCCATTAATGTCAGACCCTACATGTACCCTCATCACCAAAAAGAAGAAATGGAGAAGCAAGTGTCAGAACTGTTGAAAGCTGAAGTCATTCGGCCGAGTATGAGTTCATTTTCAAGTCTTGTGATATTAGTCAAGAAGAAAGACAAGAGTTGGAGAATGTGTGTAGACTACAGGGCCCTAAATAAAGCTACAATACCAGATAAGTACCCAATCCCTATAATTGATGAGTTGTTAGATGAACTATATGGAGCTACTGTGTTCTCTAAAATTGATCTAAAATTTGGGTATCATTAAATTAGAGTGCATGAGGATGACATCCCTAAAACGGCGTTTAGAACACATAATGGCCATTATGAGTACTTAGTAATGCCCTTTGGACTAATGAATGCCCCAGCTACCTTCCAAGCTACCATGAATGACATTTTTAGGCCATATTTGAGAAAGTTTGTCTTGGTGTTTTTTGATGATATTTTGATTTACAGTAGAGATATCAAGGAACACCAAATGCATTTGAAGATGGTTTTGTTTGTTTTAGTTGAGCATTGTTTTATGGAAAATCAAGCAAAATGCAAGTTTGGTTGTGCTCAAATTGATTATCTTAGCCATATCATTTCTGGAGAAGGTGTGGCAGTGGACCCTGAAAAGGTGAAGTGTATTCTTGCATGGCCTACACCAAAGAATGTGAAGGGGGTACGCGGTTTTTTGGGACTCACTGGGTATTATAGAAAGTTTATCCCGAATTATGGTAAAATAGCAAAACCTCTCACAGATTTGACTAAGAAAGACAACTTTTCTTGGGGAATAGAAGTTGTCAAGGCTTTTGATGAGATGAAGAGAATCATGACTTCTCCCCCTGTGCTAACTCTTCCAAATTTTGATTTACCTTTTGAAGTTGAGTGTGATGCGGCTGGCAGAGGTATAGGTGTTGTTCTAATGCAGCAGAGGAAACCCATTGCTTTCTTCAGTAAAGCGTTATCTGATGGGAATCTGGCAAAATTTGTCTATGAGAAGGAATTAATGGCCCTTGTGCTTTGTATTCAGCACTGGAGACATTATTTATTGAGCAGAGCATTTATTGTGCATACAAATCATAAAAGCTTGAAGCATTTTTTACAACAGAGCGTTTCATCTCCAGATCAGCAGTGTTGGTTGGCCAAACTGCTAGGCTATCAATTTGAAGTCAAGTACAAGCCTGGCTTAGAGAATAGAGCTCCTGATGCTCTGTCCAGATGTCAGGGTGAGGTAGAAATAAATTCTATCATTTATTTTCCCTTATGGGCTGATAGACAGAAACTTTTGGATGAAATAACTAATGACCCGTACATTCAAAATTTAATGAAAGAAGTGCAGGAGTCTCCTGATGTTAGACCTGGGTTTCAGGTGAAACAAGGAGTTTTACTTTATCATGGAAGACTGGTGATTTCCCCCGAATCACCCTCTATTCCTTGGCTATTGGAAGAATTTCATAGTACTCCTGCTGGAGGGCAATCAGGTTTTCTAAGAACATATCGAAGACTGGAAGATTCCTTATATTGGGTGGGGATGCAGAGGAGTGTAAGGGATTATGTTAGATCTTGTGATGTTTGTCAGAGACAAAAGTATAGTGTTACTACTCCTGGTGGTTTGTTACAGCCTTTACCTATTCCTAATGGTGTGTGGGAGGACTTGTCCTTAGACTTTATCACTGGGTTGCCTAAGTCTAAAGGTTATGAGGCTGTGTTAGTGGTCGTGGATAGAATATCTAAGTATAGTCATTTTGTTTTACTCAAACATCCATATACTGCTAAGTCAATTGTGGAGCTCTTTGTTAAAGAAGTGGTGAGACTTCATGGGATTCCAAGTTTTATAATCAGTGATAGAGATCCTTTATTTGTGAGTCATTTCTGGATGGAGTTGTTCAAGTTGCAGGGTACTAAGCTGAAAATGAGTTCAGCATATCACCCGAAAACATATGGTCAAACGGAAGTAGTTAACAGGTGTCTGGAAAGTTATTTGCGGTGCTTTGTTTCTGATCATCCAAAGACTTGGTCATTGTAGGTCTCTTGGGCTGAGTTTTGGTACAACACCACCTTTCATGTGTCAATTGGGAAGACTCCGTTAGAGGTGGTATATGGGAGACAACCTCCTGCATTGTTGAGATTTTTGTCTAATGATACTAAGGTGGCTGTTGTGGTATTGGAGTTGAGTGAAAGAGATGAGGCTTTGAATCAACTCAAACTTCACTTGCTCAAAGCTCATGAACAAATGACAAGGTATGCTAACAAGAGGAGGGATTTATGTTTTGAAGTTGGAGAATGGGTGTTTCTGAAACTTAGACCCCATAGACAACAATCAGTGGTAAAAAAAATTCATCAGAAACTCGCGGCAAGATTCTATGGACCTTTCCAGGTGGCGGAGAAGATTGGTGAAGTAGCCTACAGGTTGAAACTACCATCGACATCTAAAATTCATCCAATTTTCCATGTGTCTCTACTCAAGCGAGCTGTTGGAAACTATCAGGTACTGGGAGAGTTACCTAAAGATTTGGAAGTGACTGAGGAGACTAATGTATACCCATACAAGGTGTTGGGTTCAAGAGTCATAGTGCAGGGGGGTAATGAGGTTCAGCACACTTTAATACAATAGAAAAACAAAGCTTTAGAGAATGTAACATGGGAGGATAATGAATTTTTGCATGGCCAGATTCCTGAATTTTGCCTTGAGGACAAGGCATTGTCTAAGGAGGTGGGAGTTGATAGAAATGTGATTAGTGAAGTGGGGCCTAGGCCAAGGGTGTGGAGAGTTTATACTAGGAAGAAGACAAAAGGAATGAAAGATGATGACGTGACTGTGAATGCATGAGAAACGCATGAAGTGCATGAGAGTGACTATATATATCTATAACTAGAAGGGAATAATTAGGAAGGAATTTAGTTAGGATTTGGTGGGATCACCTCTTGGTGATTTGGGAGCATCGAGTGCTTGGGAATTACCAATTTGTCTTTTTCCTATTTCTCTATTGCTACATTCCTATAATTGTGGATCTATAGCAATTCGATTACAGTTTTCATTACTCATATATTCTACTGTTATATCCTTTTTACCACTATTTTGTGCATTAAGACCCATCAAAATATTTATGTAAAAGTGAATTAAACAATAAATTTTAATATAAAAATCACTCATAATCAATTCTAGAGACAAAGGCTACAAATTTTAACTTCAAGTAGAATCAATTATAGATGCATAATTAATTCTACTTTTGATAAAACAAACACCTCAAATCACCGAGAATCAATTCTACATCTCTAGAATTGACTATGGATATTCCAAAAACCAATCCAAACATGCTATGAGTCATTTACATCTGCTACGTTTTGAGTACTCCAAAAACCAATTCAAACATGCTATGAATCATTTACATCTGCTACGTTTGTTATTTCGGACAAATTGTTAGTTCTTCAAAGTCCAATTGTTATTTTAGAACCATTACTCATCAAAGATCTAGAGATATAGTTTTTCATTTGGTAGTATTCCTTTCACTTGGGTATTCCTATTTTTAAAGGAAAACTAAAAATTTATCATCTTATGTCGAACTATAAAATCGTGGCGAGCTTTTATAGAATCAATTACAAAAAACGTCATTGAAGTCTCACTACCTGCTGTTGATACAAATGCTAGGCCAAGAATAGTTTGTTGATAAAAAATGTGGCACTCACTGTTTTTTGAAAATCATCTCCGAATTCCACACCGTGCTGTGGAAATAGATTGCAGACTCACTGAATATGAACAGATTACAGATATGGAGAAACAGGATCACAATCTAAAGCATTAGAATTAGAATAAAAGAATCAAATGATCAATTAGAGGAAATGGAGATTAGTAATACATTCAGCTTCTTGTTGCAGAAAATGCATAAATGTGTGAATTTTTTTTCTTTTTTCGAAAACAAAATAAATAAAAAAGACGGATAAACAAGCAACAACAGATACATATAACCGGAACAAAGGATTTACAAAGCTCAGCTGTTACAGTGACAAGGAATTTGACAAGACAAGTCATGAAGGAGAAGATACATGAGCTAACCAAAACCCATCAAAGAATTGAAAAGTACTCACACTAATCATATACCGAAACGACCAATAAGCCTGCATTGTTCTGGAAGTAAAGAAGAAATTATCTGTCCATTAAGTGCAAAAAGCTCACCGTCAATCCCACATCCACTGTGAGTGTGTTTTCCAGACTTTATTCTGACAGACTTTACCTGCATCCAAATGGGCACTAGGTTTATACAACTCCGAACATATTTAGATGCACCTGTTACCAGGGCAAAAAAAGAATGTGCAGCTTCTACACACTAAATAACATGGCAAGATATGCCAAACAAGATCTTATCATTCTCTAACGAACTGAAGTGGACATAATATACACTTGAAACGGATCACAACTCTTAACAGTAGTCTTCGAAAAAGGAAGGCCAAAGGTTGAAATATAGTTCCTCATTTAAAGATTTTACCAGTTTAGCCATCACTATACAGTGCACTTTAATCATTACTAATGTAGATGTGTAAAATGGTTTGGCAGTCATTTCCAACATCTACTAAGAAAAGGAGTAAAACAATTATTAATGCAAATACCTTCACATATTCAACATATGGCAGTGAAAGGTGTCGGCCCATCTGTAGAAGTAAAAAAAATCGAGCCAGCCTCAGTCTTCCACTCCCATGAACCATGATCAGATCTAGAGTGTTATCGTCGTGCTCAGCCTTGGGAGCAACCACCTGGGAGCTCTGAACAGTTCTACAAGCATGGTTGCAAACCAGAATGCCAACAAACTGTCCCTTTGAAACAACCCATTTCTCTCCAAAATGAGGCACAGCCTCCTTCGTGGATCCTACTTCGGTATCATCTGGTGGCCCTGGCAACTCAATGGGGTTTTCCGCGTCCCAATTAGCCTCTGCATCCCATTTTGGTTCAGCATCCCAGATAGGACCTGGGTCAGACAGTGTAGATGATATATCCTCTCTATCATTTGTTGCATTTCCCCATTTCGAGGTATCATGTGTGGTGGTCAATCCAGTCCATCCTCTATCATTCCTTGACTTAGATCTGGTTCGTGGCCAGTTTGGAGTTGTTGACAGAGGCAGCTGTGGATGGATTACTTCTGGCTCTGATGTGATATTGCTCCTTCCAGATGATAGGCGTTTTGACTTTGGATCTAAGCCACGCACCAATTCAGAAGGTTCAGTGCTAGCATGAGTGCTACTGCAGGTATCCAGGTCTCCACCAGATATCCGACTCGGAGTCATTATCGAGTCAATACTTGAAAGACTAGATGCCCTGGGCAATCCATCCTTATTTGATCTTCCCATGATGTCAGTATACAGCTCCGATATGTCTACTACTTCCCTTTCACCAGAAAGCTTTCCTTCTCTCTCAGTTTTTGATGCTGGAAGATATTCAACTTCATAGCTGTATCGCGGTAAGCATAAGAACTTGAGAAATCCAGCAACAAAATACCGCAGTGGGCCAAAGCGCTTCTGATATTTTTCAGAAAGTTCCAACACTGCAACAATAGACAAAAATACTTAATGCCCATTAAAAAGACGAACTTAATAATCGTGCTACTGCATTGAATAAGTTCCTTCGACTCTTATTGTACCCCTAGCTTTTCTTTTATCTTTCATTTTTATTTTTTTCCCCATGTTATCAGTTACATAGTGTCTACTGTTAAATTGTCATTAAGGTTACAGACTTCAAAATGAAAAAGTGGTCAAGATAATAATGGACAATCTACAGAGCCGCTACGCCTCCATTCTTCCTAACAATTTCTTCAGCCCTCACCCCCAACCCACATTTTTACTACTTCCTAACATGTCCATGTATATTGCATATAGAAGTCCATATCATTACCCTACTTATTACCAAAAGTTCCTATGATCTATTAAAGATAAGTGGCTTTAATTAATACATGTTCTCTTAATTAGTGAGGAGACCCAATTCTTTTCAACAAAAGTTGAATTTCAACACAATGTTAGGGTGGGTCTCTGAGAATCGTATACACTTCAATTCTAAATGGTTATTGTGTGAGTAATCCTTAAGCTTCTGGAATGATTGGTTCTTGAGCATCTCAACTTTAAGGCTAATTATGGCTAAATATTCTCAAGGAAGACATAGCCTGCAAAATATGAACCTAATCTAAACCACAGTTGCTAAAAATTTGAGGCTACAAGAAGCAAGGAACCCAGCACGTAACTGAAAACCAAGCAGTATAAAAGTGTTTGTATATGCCATTGACTTACCATCACTGACAAAACCATAATATGAGACTGTTAATCCAAAGTGAATTTTATTATTCTGAATCCATTCAACAGCAAAGACATCTGTAGCGGTAAGGCCCCCCTGAACCAAGAAATTGCATTATTATATTAGGTAACTGCAAATGTTTATGAAGTAACAGTGTTACCAATAAATCTAGATAACTGTTGACATGGAAAATAGATGTGTCATTCCAATCAAAAAAAGGGTCATCTGTTTTTACCAAAAACGAAGTGATATGTAGTATAGTCCAAATAAAGTATAAAAGAAATCCCCTCCATACACATTTAAGGGAACAACGAATCATAGTCATACTGTGTCCCACTTTAAATGCTTACTACTGCTTTCCTGTTTGATTTTAATTTGAATATTATTATATAAGATAATGTTAAAATGGATAGATATAAAAAAAGATAAACAGAAGAACATCACTTAAAAATTAAAGACTGACCAAAAAGACGTACAGTTATAATGAATGAACAATTGATCATAAAAGATGAACAATATTATATTAAGTAGGAAAAATACTAAGAGGCTTGCTAGCATGATCAAACAGTTAGAACATGTTAGTCACATTTTGTGCGATTCACTTTCTTGGTATTGCTCTGAGAGAGATGCACACAAAGACAATATGGCTGAAGCAAGACATAGATATAAATATAGTAATAGATATCATATCATTGTCTATTTTCTTGCTAAAATTGTTCAATTAAAACTCCTGGATTCTCATCAAATATTTGAGTAGAAAAACAAAATAATGCTACCTTCACAATAGCCATTGCTGCAGAAATTGGATCCCTAACTCCAAGAACAGTCCATACCAGTGAGTTATCAGAACCAGCTGGTATAATTCCAATAGGTATAGATATTCCTTCCTTTTGATTGTCTCTACTAAGGAGACCATTAACAACCTACAAATAAACCACCACATCATATAACTTGCCCATCATCAACGGTGTGTATATATATATGAGTCTGTCGGGGTGTGTGTTTTCAAAATATGAAGGAACATTACTCCTTCTGCGAAAAAACACAGCCTTAAAGTATGATTGTTTAAAATATAATGTAGTGTGATATACACCATATTTGTTGGAATAATGAACAACACCTATATTTTTTGAAAAATATTCATGAGCAACAATCTAATAGATTAAATTCTAGTGAAAGGAACAATTCTTTATTTATATTGAAATATAGACAATAATGATACGATAGATATCCAATTTTTTTATAATACAGGTCAAGACAAGGAATCTTTCATCTCCATTCTTGTTTATTCTAGTTTATGTTTTTGATTGAACAATTTTCAGAGTTTTTAACAGGGATTAATCAAGGGCAGCAAAGCTGGCTCAGATAAGATCAGGTTCTCTCACCCACAGTTTGCAAATAACAGTATAGAAAACAAACTTTTGTTAATGTTCTTTCTATTCTAGGATTCTGAGGCAATCTTGGATTTAAAAATCAATATAGCTGGGATAAAAGGATATTTTTCTATGCTTTTGAAAGTTGTCAAGTCTTCCAACAGTCCCTTAAATAGTTGAGTGCTAATTCACAGGACAAAATATTTCAATTTGGATGATGGCTCAAACATCTAATATTGAAATTTGAGACTTATTCCTATCTTTAGGGTTTTCCTTGTCACTGTTATGTTATATATCAACTACTCGTATATATCTTTCTTACGGAAAAAAAAAGCGACAATAAAGCTTTATCCATTATCTGGAGTTTACTATATGGATTAAAAATTACCAGGGTTATTTACAAGTATAAATTTTCAAAAATCCATCTACAGCAAAGACTTTCTGAACAGTTCTTCTTAAAGATACAATCTCCTAAATGACTAAAATTAATGATCCTGTATTTTCTTGGCAAGAAAATAAAATCTGTTAGTCTCTGCTGACTAAACTTGCCTCACCTCAAATCCAGAGAGGTGTATGGAGACTTCTCTTTTTTTGGTCCAACACTCCAACGTGTACATTTGTAAATTGTTTTCCAATCCAAAGTCAGCTAAATTTGGAGATTGTTGTCACTTTAGCAATCTCCAAGGTAATTAACTGATTGCAAATAACTCAATCAAAAAACTCCCCCATATCAGTGTTTAATGCTTAGAAATAAAAGCAATGTGTGCTTCGCTTAATGGTAGGAAAAGTGCAACAGAGAAAATAATAAAAGAAGAAACAATGATCCATTGAAACACCTAATATGAACCCTAAGAGAAACTTTTACATTGATTTTCGGTAATTCTGCCACTTAAGATTATAAATCTTACTTTGCTGCCATTGAATAGCAAGCCTCATATCGCTAAAATAGGCAAGTAAGAGGATATGGACAGTGGGAAGTCAAAGACCCCAATAGGGCAAAGGATACATTGTGACCATTGCTAACTGTAACTGCTAGCTTGGCATTTGGCAGGGCAGTGGAGGGGACTAAAATTCTGTTATGCTAAGATATATGTAGACATAAGAGGATAGAGATCAAGAGTAAAATATACTCGGTAGGAAAATTGGGGGTGAGAACCAAGCCTCTCAATGTTTGGAATATCATTGTATTTTCTTCTCGGTATGGATTATCGCCCTGTTTTATCCAATCAAGACAATACATGAAAAGCCTTTTAGGAGATAAACCAGGCAATATAGTAAGAAGACAGTATTTGAAATGAACAAGCCAGTACAAAGAAAAAGTTGCTGAATAATTAAAATAGTGTGCCGACCTCATTGATTATTCCATCACCACCAACACATATAATTCCTGAAAGAAGGAAAAATTTCAAGAAAAAAAGAAGATTATGAGAAAAGACAACATTTCAGAAGTACTAAAGAAAACTACAACTAACATGTGTCCATACTATAGGCAGTGAATTTACCATCAGGGCAGGTGCTGATGTCTACAGTCGATGCAAGTTTTCTGGCATGACCGGCAGATGTTGTTTTGACTACCTCCAATCTAAACCCAGCAAGCTGTCAAAGTATAAACCACAAGCTGCTTTACTCATCTTTCCACTTGCATGGTATATTTATATTTATATATATAAAGTAATGCAAGTAGTTCAACTATAACGGCTGCAGTATTGAAATCAAAAACTGAAGGTGCATATGAATAATAATATGAAAGAACAATATGTGGACAAAACAACAAAAATTCAATATCAGTCCTTCAGCTTTTGACTTCATTGCAAAATTCGAATATGACATCAAATATGCATACCAACACAATGATGTACTTAACAACAAACGTACATACAGCTTATACGATCAAGGACAGAGAGTAACATACCCTAAAAATTGGCTCCACGGTATCATGGAAAACTTTACTTGAACGACCTCTGCCTGAGCGTGGATTTAAAATTACAAGCATCTTGGGTGGAGTTTTGCATCTGAAGAGCAATTCCGGAGGGGTATCGGTTTGAAACAATTCAGAGGACGCTTGCTTCTTGGAAGACACTAAAGGGTGAGGAAGACAGTTAACGAAACAGTGTTGATCAGCAAAACCGCCAACCCATTGAATTGCCTCTTCTATTGTAGAAGCCACAAAACGAAAGTCCTTGCGACTCCTTTGAGATTTAATAAAACAAGAAAGACCACATGAAGCCTTTTTCATCGGATACGAGTGCACTGTGAAATGTTTGAGACCAGCATGATAAGAAACCTGTTTAGAAGTAACACATCACATACTAAAACAAATTAGTCATATTTCTTTTGTTTCCATATAACCTAAAAAGAGTTTGTTTTGTCCTGTTAAAGCTGCTCAGTTGGTAGCTGTATAGGGACGTCAACGGACACGGATTGGAACCCGCGACATCCCTTTAAAAGGTGAATTTCAGACTCTAGGCTACTTGACAAAAAAAAAAAAGTTTGCTTAGTTTATCACAAAAAGTATTTGAAGCAAGCAACTCATTACCGAGATGACATCATCAAGGCGCAGCACATGAGATCCCCAAAGTAAAGCTTTGCTTGTTAGTTTGGCATCCACAGAGGCTTGATTGGTAGTATCAAAAGAAGTTTGTTGAGCATTATTTACAGAAATCTTCCTCTTATCCAAAACCAATTTACCAGAAAACACCACATACCCTAACAAATCAGACTTCTCATCTCCTCCACCACCACCACCACCTCCTATATCAATCCTATGCTCAAAACTCTTGGCCGCACCCTCCTGATCACCATCACCCGGCCTAACAACATCAGTACCCTTCTTCGAAGCCTTAATTTTACCACGTTTTTCAGGGAAAACAATCGGCGAAGAGTGTTCCCCAGAAGTAGAAATCTGGGAACAGAATCCTAACCGTCTGAACGACTGTTGAGGTGAAGAGAGTCTAAACGCGGCGGCGGCGGATGCAGCAGACTTAGATGAGGTGGTGTTACTACTACCAGTAGAATTACGGGAAAGACTACCACTCTTGAGCATATCTCTCATCCTATAAGGAATCTTACGAACATGATGGTGCAGGGTTTGAAGATTAGGGTTTGAAATTAATGAATTGAAGTGTTGTATGTTTGAATTTGTTCAGATCGGGAATCGACTATTGGATCTATAACCAATCAAACTATAGCAAGAGTGACTGATTTTAGTTTCTAAGTTGGAAATTCGGTTAGCTCAGATATAAAAGAATTGGAGCAGAAAAACAATCGGAAAACGAGAAAGGAAGAAGATAAAGCAAACCAGAGAAGAAGAAGAAGAAAAAGAAGAGTACTGATCGATCGGTGGCTCCGGGAGCTGAGTAGAGAAAACTTTGGGTTTCTGGCTGGCACCCACCCAACGCACTCACTCGTTTTTGTGTTATGTTGTGCTGTGGGTGGAGTCTAATCGGACGATCAAGATCCCTCGACCTCAACGGACTCATCACTTTCCTTTGCCGTCATACTTACTTGTTGTTACTTTTTTATTATTTTTATAAATCGAATATCAGCTACCAACTGCAGAAAATAATCTTTCGAATTAATCAGAATCACAATCTTTTGAATTAATCAGAATCACAATACAACAAATTTATCTATGAAGAGATTTAACACTACTATATATATTTAAGATTGAATTCGAAGTCAAGAACTCGGATCAGAAACTGAGTTTTTACTTTTTGTTTATTATTCTATTTTTATTGTTTATTATTATTATTTAACTAATAATTAGTTGTTCAAATCCAAAACCAAACAAAGACATTACCTGCCATTGTACCAACTTAAATAAAACAATGGTCTATTATGGAGTAAAGTTAGTTTTTTGTATTTTTATTTTATGTCAAAATGGATTAAATGATTGGATTCGCATCTCATCCATTATCAATCTTTCATTATATTTAGGGATTGTTTTTTATCAACTTTCTAATTTTTAGAAGTCTTTTAAATATTCTATCATATTATTCCTATTCTATAATTAACAATTTGGTTTTTTAAGGGTTTTAAATTTAAAATTTGAAACTCCAAAGAAATAACTTTTAAAACGTACCCAATTCGGCAATTTATTGAATTAATAAAAAAAATCGATAATATAATACATCAATAACACCAATAATATATCAAAATAAATTAAAATATCTAAGGTTAATAGCATTTTTTTCTCTACCATATAGCGGACTTATGTTTTTTTCAATAGTTTTTAAAAAAAAATCAATATTGTGATATAAAAATTCTATTATTTTAGCTTTTGTGAGATTTCATTGTGCAACAATACATATGTGACGAGTTGATTCAATATTTTTTATTATTTTATTTTTAATAATGTTGATATGTTCACGTGAATTTAATATTTTTATTTTTATTTTATTTTTAATTTCACGTGATTTTTTCTTTTTTTTATAAACTTTAAATTTATAAATGTTGAAGATATTAAAAAAGTTCTTTGCCAAAAAATGCACATAGACCTGACTTAGAGGAAACAGAGCCTGTTTCGCATTTGAAGACTGAATTGTATAAGGGTTTATGCAGTTTTGATGGTGTTTTGGTGGTAGCGAAGGTGGCTTTAGTCGGGGTCCCTATTCTCTCGGATTCAATTTCACAGTTTCTTGTAACTCCAATTGCGGAAGCAAACTACTCAGTGGATATGTTTTTTAAATCAAAAAGTATGGTGGATAAGAAATTAGGAGTGGTAAATAGATGGCTTAAATCAAAAGTATTTACGATATGGTAGGACCAGTATCCATTAAGCGGGAGAGGAAAAAGAATAGATTTTTGAAATCTATTTAAATAGATCAATCCAATCATGTTATCACAAAGGAATTTCTGGTTATCGAATCATCCTATGTTTGTGCTAATAAACAAGATGAACAATTACAGGTTACGGCTTGGTTTCAATCTCTCTCTAAGTCTATTGGTTCCGAGGATAGGTTCTCGGGGGGGTGAAGTTCTTTGTTGTCCAGGAACTTCAAACACTGATATTATCCAATGTAATATGAAATTTTGGGGGCTTATTGAAACCAATGTTGGTTCAAAGGTGTGGGAGGTGGTCTCTAAATTGGGGGTCATGGCGAATGGTAAGGAGAAGGATTATGTTGAGAAGATCAATGTGATGGAATTAAGAGACATAAAAATAAAGGAGGTTTTGAAGAAGAATTTGAAAAATGTGAAATGATTATTGGATCTCTGAACATTAGAGGGGGTTGTAAGGCTAAGAGGAAGTAAATTAGTCAGATTATCAATCAAGGTAAGGCTAACATTTTTCTAATTCATGAAACTAAGTTTTCAGTTGTTGATACTCAATTGGTAGCAAGCGTGTGGAGTAGGGAGAAAGTAGGGTGCCCTATTCAGGTTCTGAAGGGGCTTCAGGAGTTTTATTGATTTTATGGAAGGTGGGTGGTTTTGAGGTGTTATCTTTTGTTAAGGGTGAAGGATTCTTAGGGATTAAGTTGTTATGGAAAGATAGTCTTTATTATGTTGTAAATGTGTGTTCTCTATGTGCGCTCAATCTTAAAAGGAAGTTGTAGAATGATCTTTTAGTTTGTAAATCGAAATATAGTGATGGGGAGTGGTGTAAGGGAAGAGACTTTAATGCAACTGTTAATTTAAGAGAAAGGAATGGGGGGTTCCTCAATTAGTCGAAACTCAGAAATGAGGGATTTTGCGAGTTTCATTGAGAATTATGATTTGATTGATATTTTATGTAAAGGGAAACAGTTTACTTGGTTTTGAGAGGACGGGAAGGTTATGAGCAGAATTGACAGGTTCCTTCTCTCTGGCAACCTGGTTAGTAAATGGGGTGTGGTTGGTCAGTTCGTAGGCGAGATGGACATTTCAGATTATTGTCCAATTTGGACTGTTGTTAACAATTTCGATTGGGGCCCGAAGACGTTTAAGGTGAATAATGGTTTGTTCAAAAACAAGGATTTCGTCCCATTTGTGAAAACTGAATTGGAAAAGTTATGCATAGAGGGAAGAAGTGATTTTGTTATAAAAAAAATTGAGATTGCTTAAGAGTAGTCTTAAGAAGTGGAACAATGAAGTGTTTGGTAGAATAGAGTTGGAGGTTGAGGAGTTGGTGTTCAGAGAACTAATGAAGCGGGTCTTTTATTGAAGAGTTAAAGGGAGAATGAAGTGGAAAAGGTGGTGGCTGCCTGAAGTTTAGCTTTTAGCAGTATGTGGAAACACTTAAAGCTTAAAAAGAACATGATTATTCATAAATCTAGCCTCAAGTGGGGATCTGAATGAGATATGAACACTAGGTATTTTCATAGTGTTATGAAGGAAATGAGGAGGAGTAATTCTGTAGGTTCTATTGTTTCTAGCATATGGATTCTATAGGAGGTAGGGGAGGCTAATGAGGAAGTAAAGAGGCATTTTTCTAAGAAACTTTTGGAGTCAGATTACAACCGTCCAACTTTGGAGGGTATTCCTTTTTTGTGTTATCTGAGGAGGAGTGTTATTCTTTAGAAATCCCTTTCTCAGAATTAGAGATAAAGGAAGCGGTGTGAGGGATCGAAGAGTCCAGGGTCGGATGATTATAATTTCTTATTTATTAGGAAATACCGGAGCTTCATGAATATTGATATCATTTGTTTCTTTGAGGATTTCCATGGAAGTGGAGTTTCATCTAAAGTAATCACCTCATCTTTTTTAACTTTAGTGCCTAAGAAGAGCAATTTGTTGGGATTAGATTACTACAGGTCGATTTGCCTTGTGGGGTGTTTATACAAATATTTGTCTAAACTCTTGGCGGCTACATTAAAGAGAGTTTTGAGTTCTATAGTGTCTAAGTCCCAAAGTGCTTTTGTGTCGAGAAGACATTTGATGGATGAGGTTCTTGTTGCTAATGAGGTTATAGATTACGCAACAAAGACTAAGAAGGGATGTTTGTTTTTTAAAGTAGATTTCTGAAAGGCTTACAATAAAGAACTTTCTCGAATTCATGATGAAGAAGATGGAATTTGGTAGGGTTTGTCTCAAGTGGATGGGCAATTATTTTCTCGAGTTCTATGTTGGTGTTGATTAATAGTGTCGTAACTGGCAAAAAATAACGAGTCGCCACCACAACTTTTTATTCTAACGATGGGTGAATAATGGAATAACCCTAGATTGATACAGAGATTCTAAGTTCTCAATTCACTTTAGACGAAGTGAATGTGTTAGGTACCCTTCACCTACCTTGTTCTAAAGAATGTTCTAGGGTTTAAGTTAAAAGGGTAAGATAGGGTTTTAATTTTTTAATTATGGGACTCGCTTCAGTTTTTAAGTCGTATGCCTACGTATTCTCTTATGAGGAATCAGAGTCCCAATTCGTAGTTCGAAGTGTTTGCTAGTTTTTTTTATGGATTGTGGAAGTATTTTTGAATTAATCGTTGAACCTAGTCTGGGTTTGAAATTGGCGTAGTCGTAGACGTAGTTCGTAGTTAATAGGAAATAGCTCCACAATCCTTTTTGAAAATAATATAATTTGAAATAAAATTAGTAAAAGCAAGTTAGTATTTGATGGGTTAGTTGTCTTAGATGTATGATAAAAAAATAAGTTTGAATAATGACAATAAAGTTGATGAATAAAAACAATGTTAGTATTTTTAGAAAATAATTGATTAACAAATAATTATTTTCTTATTATTAAAAATATATTAAATATTTTTAATACTAATCCACTATTTATTTATTAACATATTTTATATGCCAAAAAATATTTTTAATGCATAAAATAATAAAAAAAAATATTTATAAAAATATTATAAATATAAATCAAATAAATAAATAACTTAATTGTTTAAATAAAATAAATTAATTAACAAAAACGAAGGGGTGTATATTTAGTTTAGGGTAGTAAAAAAGGGGTGTTATTAGCAAGGGCTAAGCCCAGAAATCGAGCATGGTCCAATTACGCAAGGGGTGTAAAATGTTGTTGTAAATATTAAAGAGAAAAAAGGTGGGGTGTGAATAGAGATGGGCTTTGGCCCAGAAAGCAATCATGGAATTCGTTTGATCTTGTGTAGGCAAGCGTACGGG